TTGCAAGGCCATCCAACTGGTCAGTCCTAGAGGAGATCAACCCTGACTGCCCTTTAGAAGGCCAGATTCTGAAGAGGAAACTCAAATATTTTGACCACCTGATGAGAAGGAAGAAAGACTCCCTGGAGAAGAGCCTCATGCTGGGAACGATGGAGGGCAAAAGAAGAAGGGGAGGACAGAGAAGGAGGTGGCTGGATGGAGTCACCCAAGCAGTTGATGTGAACTTAAATGGACTCCAGAGGATGGCAGAGGACAGGAAGGCCTGGAGGAACGTTGTCCATGGGGTTGCGATGGGTTGGACATGACTTGCAACTAACAACAAATAAGTTATAGGCTACTCAACTCCCAATGGGTGTCCTGTAAGTCCTTCCTTGGCCTTGTAATGTTGCATTTTATCTAGTCTCGCCTCTCTTTTAACTTTTATATTCAGCTTTTATGTGTGAGGGAGTTGGGCAGTTTCTAAACGTGATATAGATGAATAACAGGTAGATGCTAATGACAGATAGATATGAAGGATGCAATCAAAAAGATGTGATAGATGATAGATCATGATAACTAACTGGAATGGTTAGAAAACTGATAATAGATGCGAAAAATGATAGATCAATAAGACAAATATAAATAGAGATATGTAGAAGATAATGACAGATGCAAAAGATAAATCATGCAATAAACAGATGAAAGTTCAGTAAGACAAAACGTAACTGAGATGCAAAAGATGCCGTTAGTTAATAGATAATTAAGACAGAATCTAAATCATTAAAAGAGATGCAAAACAGAGATGCAATGTAGGGATAGATATTAATGATAGATCGACCAACAAGACAGAATTTTGATAATTAATAAATTTACTTATTTATTTGATTCATATGTCACCCATCTCGTTTAGGAGTCATGATAGATGCGAAAGCCAGATTTAATACATAACAGATATAGATGTGAAAGGTAGATGCAATAGGTGCAGTGATAGAGAAAATAGATGTGACATAAATAAATACGGGTAGATGACAGATCAATACGACAGAATATAGATAATATAGATAGATAAATGATGGGTAGGTAGGTAGAGGATGGATAGATGGATGGATGGATGGATGGATGGATGGATGGATAGATTTGTAGTTTTTTTGTAGTTTTATTAGAATTTGTAGGCCGCCCTTTTCCCTGAGGGGACTCAGGGCGGCTCACATAAANGGTATAGGGTTTCCTGCCTAGGCAGGGGGTTGGACTAGAAGACCTCCAAGGTCCCTTCCCGCTCTCTTATTCTGTTAACGGAGTAATAATCATTAATGGTTTACCGTTATAGCCGTTCAGGGCCTGTGAGACGAGCTCTTTGGCGACCGTATCGTAAACCAGGTCTTGCGACGCGTTGTAGAGGACGCCGTCCATCTTAAACGACCAGTCGGTCACCTTGTTGTTGACAATGCCTTTGGAACGATCCCGCTCGATGTGAACCTCGATCGTCTGGAAAGGGGGAGCCAGGGCGAGTTCCGATTTCAAGGGGCGTCAATTTCACCCGTGAAAAAGGTGAAACGGGGAGCAGAAGCTTTTCAGCTTCATCCTTTCTGTTACCTTGTTGTCGGCTCCAAATTTGATGACATCTTGAGGAAAGTCGGCCGTGGGCTTGACCCGTGCGAAGGCCTTCACTTTCTTCGAATTGAGGCACATGGCCATGAGGTCTGGGGGAAAGAAATGCAGGGGGGTCCTTGATTTACGACCGCTTGCTTAGTTGCCATTTGAAGTGACAACAGCACTGAAAGTAGTGACTTATTCACCCTTACGACCATTGCAGCATCCCTGTGGCCAGGTGATCAAAATTCAGATATTCGGCAATTGGTTCATATATATATGATGGCCATAAGGTAGATGGATGGACGGATGGATGGAGATAAATGATAAGGCAGACAGAAAGGTCAGATAATGGGTAGGATGGGTGAGATAGATAGATAGATAGATAGATAGATAGATAGATAGATAGATAGATAGATAGAGAAAGAGAGAGAGAGAGAGAGAGAGAGAGAGACCGTATTTTTCAGAGTATAAGATGCACCTTCCCCCCCCCCCACAAAAGGTGAAAATCTGGGTGCATCTCATACACTGAATACAGCATTTTTTGCCTCCAGAAACCCCACCCCTTCACCAAAATGGATGTGCACAGCCCTTAGGAGGCTTCCAGAGTGCTCCAGGGTGCTGGGGAGGGCAAAAATGAGCAAAAAATAGCCCGTTTTTGCCTCCCCCCCAGCCCTCAGGAGCCCTTTGCAAGCCTCCCAAAGCTCTGCATCCGCCCCCCCCCCCCTTTTTTGTGTGCAAAAAGTGAGGCGTGCAGAGGGTTTGGGAGGCCTGCAGAGTGCAAACACATTTTTTTTTTTAATGTACCTCTTCAAAATCATGGTGGATCTTATACTCTGGTGTGCGTTATAGTCTGAAAAATACGGTAGACAGACAGACAGACAGACAGACAAACAAAATGATAGTCAGTGTGTCCCAGAATCAGGTGACCCTCCTGACAAGCAAAGTCAATGGGGAAGCCAGATTCATTGAACAATTTCATTTCATTTCATTTTATTTGTCTTGTATGCCGCCCACTCCCGAAGGACTCCAGGCGGCTCACAACAGACAAAGGAAGGGGGGGATAAATAGACTATGTAACAACTGTTACTGACTCAACAACTGCAGGGATTTCACTTAAATTCATGGGACAAAATTCACTTAAATGTTTCACTTAGCAACAAAAATTTCGGGCTCAACTGCGGCTGTGAATTTATTTCTTTATTTATAAGATTTATACGCCACCTATCCTATCTCACATAGTTTTCAGAAGATTAGGCAATTACAATTATATTTGTTTAAAAAAAATGCACCCAGTCCTCGACATATGATCGCAATTGAGCTCAATATTTCTATTGCTAAGCAAGATGGTTGTTAAGAGAGTTTCATCCCATTTCGGGATCTTTTTTGCCGCAGTTATTAAGTGAATTGCTGCAGCAACTAACAATGGAAATTTTGGGGTAAATTGTGGATGAAAGTTGAGGACTATCTGTATCAATTAGGTGGGAAATTAATATTTTTATTTAATCAGTAAGAAAGGCTGAGCGCCAAAGAATGGAGGCCTTTGAACTCTGGTGCTGGAGAAGAAGACTCCTGCATTGAGTCCCTTGGAC